AAAAAAAAAAAAAAAAAAAAAAAAAAAGCCTAATTTAAAATAAATAAATAAAGTGACCTTAATTTGTGGGTTTTCTCTGTAATGGCTCAAAAGTGACAACGTATGATTCCGCCACTTTAGGAAGGGGAAAAAGTCGTTCCTTCCTTGGGATTGGGGCTTTGTTTAGTCTTTTCATAGAGTAGAAGAACCACCGCTTGTTAGAGGTCATAGCCAACGAATTTTGGCCTTTTTTTAAAAAAATAAATTAAAAGTACATATTTAATTATATTTTTATAGAAAATTTTGAATGAAAAAACATATTTATTATATTTGATATCTTAAATATTAAAATAATTAATACTGAGTTAAAATTTAAACAATTTATATTCAGATATTTAATTATTATTTATATATTACAATTAAATTACTGTCTTGGATTAAAGTACTAATCAATCGAAAAGTAACCAATAAAGTAGTAATTTTGAAATAAAAGAAAGGATTAAAATTTGTAATGAGAAATCGATTCCATGAAGAACAAGAAACAATAAATCCTTCTATTTTAAATACGATCAAACAAACACTAGAAAGTAAAATAACCTGACAAACTATATACCTCTTCAATTAAGACATGATTAAAATCACTACCGAATTCATCTTCAACTATAGGTTCTCGCCGGTAAAATCTCTCTCTGCAACATTCTTGATCGGGTTAGTGTCTACTTTCGGCGGACCAGAGTGCCTCCTCGAGTTCGCCGGTGAGGCGGGGAACGAGAGCCGTTTCTTTACGCCGCCACTTGCTGGTGCCTTATCTGGAGTCGCTGCCGTATTCTCCGTTCCCATTGGACTCGACAACCGAGACCTTGCCCTGGCTGCTTCTGTCGACGCCATGTAGCTTGGAACTGACGGCGAACTCGTGAAGCTTTCATCATCCCTCACTGATGATCCGGCGATGCTGTGACGCCGGTACCGCTCCGATTTGACGCTCAATGCGCTTCGGGAATCGGCGTCTCCACTCCAGCCGAATCCTCTTGGACTATCCGGCTTCAATTTTCTCCCTGCAGATAGTGACGAATGCGCCTTCGTAGGAGTCGCCGGCGATTGGCGACTTGGAGCTCGGCTCGTCGGAGTCCTTGGAAATGGCTTGATGTCGAGATTGAGATCGCGACGGGAGAAAGATTTGGAAATGTCTCCGATCGAGGTCGCATGGCTGATCGCGCTCTTGACGGAGCCGCGATCGTGATGATCGACGGTGCTCTTAGCCTCCCATGGACGAGCGGCCATCCATCGTTCCAACCAACTCCAGCCCCAGTGGGGATTGTTCGGATCCATGAATGTAGGGTTCGCAGATTTGGAAGAATTCTTGCCTGAATTCTGTTGGGGAAACGGCGATGAGAATGAAAATCAATAATCTGAGGAGGGAGATGATAATCAAATCAGGAAGAAATGGAAACGAATTGAACCTGATGAGAGTAAGCATACGCCAATGCCCTTTCTCTTCTTGTTGCTGCTTCTTGCCTGTAAACTTGTCTGGCTTCAATTTGTTGCTTTGATTTGGTACTGTCATTCCATTCATTGTTTGCCTAATTTAGACATCAAAATTTAAATTCTCATACATACATACCCAAGGATTAAGAATGCATGCAAATATATTCATTTCAGATTGTGAGATTTGGAAACTAGGTGTGAAACCTCTCTTTTAACCTATGTGTTTTAAAACCATAAGGTTGACGGTCATACGTAACAAGTCAAAGCATACAATATCTACTAGCGGTAGGTTTGGACTTTTACAAAAGGTAATAGAGCTAGTTATTGGGCGGTTTGCTAGCGAGAACGTTGGGACCCCAAAGGGGTAGATTGTGAGATCCCATCTTGGTTGGAGAGGGAAATGAAGCAATTCTTATGAGGGTGTGGAAACCTCTCTCTAGGGATTGTGAGATCCCACATCGGTTGGAGAGGGGAACGAAACATTTCTTTTAAGGGTGTGGAAACCTCTCAACCTCCCCTTAGTCGACGCGTTTAAAAACCGTGAGGGGAAGCTCGAAAGGAAAATCCCAAAGAAGACAATATATGCTAGTAGTGGGCTTAGCTCGTCACCAGGCAGTGTGCCAACAAGAACGTTGGGCCCCAAGGGGGTGGATCGTGAGATCCCACATCAGTTCGAGAGGAAAACAAAGCATTCTTTATAAGGGTGTGGAAACCTCTCTCTAACAGACGCGTTTTAAAACCGAGGGAAGTCGAAAGGGAAAGCCCAAAGAGGACAATATCTACTTGTAGTGAGTTTGAACCGTTACATACAATGGTATAAAAGCCAATCACCAGCCAGTGTGTCATTGAGAACGTTGGGTCCCAAGAGGGGTGGATTGTGAGATCCCTCGTTGATTGGAGAGGAAAACAAAACATTTTTTAGAAGGGTGTAGAAACCTCTCCCTAACAGACACGTTTTAAAAACCATGAAAGGAAGCACGAAAGGGAAAACTCAAAGAATCTAGAGAGAAAACCCAAAAAGAAGACAATATCTGCTTATAGACCGTTACAAAGATCGTAAAAAAGAAACTAAAAAAGAGGTTCACTTAGGACAAGAGTAATACTCGACCGCTAGCTAACTCGGCCGCAGCTACTTTTTGTAGCTCAATAATACAAAATCGTTTTAAAAAGCAGGCTACCAACACATGTGATTGAACCATGTAGCTAAGTAATACTCTTAGGACATCCAATCTGACACGAGGAATTAACAGAAGAGTACACTGAAAAACTTACAGAAGCAGTTAATCTGTGAAGCTCTCTTTCATGTTTTTGTTGGAGCTGCCTCTGAAGAGCCTGATTCTCCTCTGACAGTCTAATTCTTCTTCCACGCACCTGTGACTGCACACGAGCAAGCGTCTGCATGCATCTTAATGTGGTGGTTGCTTGTCTCTTAACAGACTGGCCTTGGATCAATGACTTCAGCCTCACCAACCCTCTTAATGCCCGCAGCGCCCTCCTTGCCTGAGCCAAACAAAATTCCCATTACCAAAACCATATTTAATGTCCCAAACCCATTATAGAAAAGCCCTTCAAATCACTGTTTTTGAGCCATCTGCAGGCCATTAAATGACACATTAAAGCCTGCATTGAAGTTAGGTGTATATGATTTGCACATATTTGATGCCAAGTCATGGCAAGCTGGAAGTTTGACTTGTTTCTCTCGAGTTCTAACCAATAATCATAAAATTTTAGATGATTTTATCCGAACGGATCGAATCTGTTCTAAAGTCAGTCGTCTTGTGATCTAAGAGTGACTATCATAGATTCTAAGTTCTATCTAACATTTAGATGGTCCTCTAATTTTAAAAGATTCAGCTAACGGTAGAGATTATCTAATCTAAACAGCTGAAAGCCAGCTTTCAATGAGTGTCATCAATTATTGCAAATAAGTGAAAGAAATCACTCACCATATAGCCACGGAATGTAGTCTGGATCTTGATGGCTGCTATTTCTTCCTTTGATTTCCCAGAGTACCTAGTGATGGTAGTGAGCCGAACGACCTCTGCCGCAGCCTGAGCGGCTGCGACGGCCGCCTCGGCGGCAACTGCAGTGGCAATGGCAACAGAATAAGCATGTTTGCTCTGTTCATTCTCTGCATCAACTAGCTTCACCTCTTCAATAGGAAGAACAGACACATCCAATGGAGCTGTCTCCAATTTCTTTGGCTTCCCAAACCATCTTTTCTTGGATTTGTTGGTTTTCTAGCCATGAAAATCAAGAACAAACTCTCAGTTCATGATCTTAAACAACCAAAAACACAGAGAAAACAAAAATCCATAGAAATTAGAATCCCAACCCATAAGAACCTGCTCTTTCTTTTCCTTAGATTCAGTAGCAAATGCCTTCTTCACAGCAGAAAACCACCCCCCCTTCTTCCCCATTTCCTATTCCATCGTCAAAAACAGATCAGTCAAACATACAAGAACTCAAACAGATCAAAGTTTACTAAAGTCTTAGAACACAGATCCAAAATGGAAACAGCCCATAACATTGTTCAGAGAAAACTCCCAGAAAATTGTCGAAAACTGCAATTTCTTGCGGGGAAAAACAGAACCCATGAAACGATTTCATTAGAAATAAGAGATTTAAAGGCAAAAACCATTAGAAATACCTCAGCAGAAAAGCGCCATAACTTTTCTGAATCTCAGCAGCTTTCTCTCTCTTAGATCCTAAAGAAATTGATAGGCAAGGAACGCAGCAACCACCATTAGAGAGAAAGGCCCAGATCTCGAGGTTAGAGAGAGATAGTGAAAGGGCAAAAACGGAATTAACGAAAAGAATTGGGGGAGTGTGTAGGGCGTTGGGAGAAGAGAATTTCAGGACTAAACCGAGTGGGCTCAGGCTCTGTGTGACTCTTATTATTATTATTATTTTAATAGCATCAGCGGCTAGGCAAGCTGAACAACAGGACAAATCAACACCCAAGTTGCTATCGCCGCCGCTGGCTCCGCCGTCGACCGGTGGAGCTTTTAGGGGAAAAAGTGGGGAGTCCGTTAAAAATTAAGAGGGAAATCACATGATATCGTCGTAACGTGTACACTAAGAATGACCAATTATGACTTGCCACGTTGCCTTTTGTTATCGGTTTCTGAAACGACCAAAAAGTTTTATTGCTTTAACGTTAAAACTTGGTGCTGGGCTAAGCCCAGCTTTTGTAGCAGCCACGTGGTCCATCCTGGTGCTGCCACGTACGTTTTAATATAGTTTTTAACTCTTTGTTTTTCCTTCTGTTTTTATCTTTTTATTTATTTTATTCTGAAATAATATTCTTTTTTCTTATTCTTTTTGCAAAATCTTTGACAGTATCAATTTTAAAAATCCTTTTCTAATTATTAAATTAAACTCTTAATTTTCAATCGGTTAGTGTAGATTATAAAATAAAATAAAATAAATTATAAATATAAATAAAAAATGAAATTGATAATTGATCATTTCAAATATTTTTAAAAATAGAAAATGTTCTTTTAGATCATGAAATATATGATTTTATTGTTTTTAACTCTCCAATTAAACATAGATGGTGTCACTTGATGGATGAAATGTATACGATTCCAAAACTAAGGGTCTTCGAGCTTGCCGCTTACGATTAGTCAACCATGCAACAATGAGAAGAGTTACCACAAGTGGTGTGATGAGATCTGTATTTCAAGACGAAACGAAAGATTCATTATCCTTCAACTCGTGAACAAGGGTTTCCTTTCTAGTACTTGTGGAGAATCCATACAAGTAAGAAATAGTTTTAGACCGGTTAACTTTGAAAACCATAGTGACACTTAGCAACACAGTTAAAGTCCTTCATGTCAGTAATATTATTATGACATAGGCAGAAGACTGAGTTGTGCGCTATGTCCCGGGTATTTGGCAGAAACCTCTTACCGAGGGTCTGGTGTTTGCTCCTACATGGCGGGCAAGATGGATGGAAATATATAGAGTTTTTTTTTTTTTTTTAAATATAGGTATACAATTAAAATTTTAAGTATTTATTATATTTCTCATTAATATAATTTTTGGTTTTAAAAAAAATACATTTTGGGTGTTATTTCACATCATTATTTTCATGATAATTTCCCTACAACTCCTAATGAACATCTCGTGGGCCGTGTTCACTATGATGGGCTGAATCCATATTGGGCTTTCGAATCACGTACGGGCCGAAGTTATGGGCCAAGTTCAGTAGAAAAGCCTAGTTTTCATTTTCATACTAGCCGAAAGCACATCAACCCTTCCTCCTTCCCTCGACAGTCGCCGGGCTAACGAGTTTTACCTCCTCCTCCTCCTCTGAAATTTCTCCTCCTAGCCACCTACGCGCTTACAGGAGTTGTGACAAGAGGAGTTGAATTCTGGTGTTGATTCTTCGTACTACAGCAACGAAATGGGGAAGCTCGGGAAGAAAGCAAGGAAGTTCGCGAAGAAAAATCTTCAGACTGTGCTCAAAAGGAAGCGGAAACTGAAGTCTATGTTCAAAAAGAAAGCTCCGTCAAGTAAGATTCATGTTCTAATCCTAATTTCTGAAAGATATTTTATTATTCGACACGTTTTTTTTCTTGTTCATTCTTTCTCTGTATACTTGTTTTTGTTTACAGACTTGAGCTGCTTAACAATTTTGTTTCCAGCTATTTTTTATGTTATTTATTTGGTTTTTCTTCAAATTTCGTAGAACAGATCAAGGACGGTGTTGAAAATCAAAAGGACGATGCATCGAAGCTCCACAGTCGCATGTAATGCTTAAACATTTGGTTCATTCTTTCCGAGCTTCGTATTTATATCAATCTCACTCAATTTGTGTTTAGACTGTGTCGTCAACTTCATTCTGATAATCATCTTTCTGAACAATATTTTTTTTGTGATTTACTTGGCCACGAAAAAGTACACGTATGGATCTATATCGAATTAGTTTATTCTCTCTTGAGCAGGTTTCAACGTATATGGTCTTGTGTCTGGACTTTTCCTTCCTCAATTTCTTAACATGCTACATTATCCATTTAATTCACTTAAATTTCACGTTTCTATTTGCAGGAATGGTGAAGCTGATGCAAACGACAATGTTTCTTTGGATGCTATTTTCAGTGAAGATGAATACGATATGCTTGAAATTGATTCTGACAGCGATGGATACATCTCAGAGGTTTTTACCGAGTTTTGCCGATATGATTTATGATTATTTGATTGGGTCATTGCATTTCTAACGTTATTTGTCAATTAGGAATTAAGCTCGTTTAACACTGCTGAAAATGGAATTGACAATAATTCAGAAGGCGGCACTGGTGAGTCTACCTCCATGCTATATATAGTGAATAATTTCTTGTACTTTATCCTGATACTTCCTTTGATCCTGCCGTCAATTGTTGGTGTTATTTTGCAGACATGGTTAGTCCCAACCATTTATCGGATCAGAACAGAGAAATTCTTTCAGAACTCACAAAGAAAACGAAGCAATTGAATAGGTTGAAAGAAAAGGTAATGCTGTACTTTATTTAATCTCCGTCCCCACTTGATAAGAAATGCCAGGGCAAGTAAAATGCATGCCAAATGAATCCTAGGTATACATGAAATTTGGGATGTGCAAAAGATTTCTTTTACTTATTCATAGCATTGCATTGTGTTTAATGCTCTGCATTATTTCTGGACTTCAAATATCTGTAGCTAGCGGCTGATTTCCGATACTGGGTGCTTGGCATCATTAAGTACGAGGGTTTATGCTTTTTTGGAATGAATTAATCAATTATCACAATTTGGACTAAGATTTATGATTGATTTTAATGATCTCCAGAGGGTGTATGTAAATTTTCAATGCTTTCACCAACACTGTTTAATCATTTGAAGCTAGAGTTTCCGGTGGCGTTTTTTTTCCTTCTCTTTTCATCCTATAACGATTGTTTAATTTTCACTCTATTACTGGGTATTTTAATTTATTGCTTTACTTGGAAGATTTTCAGGATCCAGGATTCTTGAAGTTTCTGGAAACCAATAATAAGGCGGTTACACCTTTCAGAGATGAAGATGCTGTAAGTATTATGTAGAGTGCTATGTTCCTCCCTTTTTCTTTGTTCCTTATCTATTTATTTATTACTCTATAAAATTTAATCGTGTAGAAACGAGTACTGTTAGACAATTATGTTTTAATGTCTCTCTTTTTTTTTAATCTTTTTCCATCTGATTGTTTTCCTCTTCTCTCAATGTTTTCCTTGGACAGAGTTCTGATGAGGAAACAATCAATGATGATGGATTAAATCGAGAAGAACTGAGCATTAGTTCTAATAATGGCTTTTTGCTGAGTAGCTCTGTTGTCCATTCCTTGTGTGATCAAGTTAAGAACAAGCATGATTTGTCTCTTCTTACCAGTCTAATAAACGGGTATCGAGCTGCATGTCACTATGGATCTGATGCAGCAAGCAATGTAGATGCTGTCAGATGTTATAAAATTGGAAACAGTGAAACTTTCTCCAAGATATTAATCTTCACACTTGGTGAGGCTGACAATTTATTTAGGGAGCACCTAGGACTCACGAACTCCAGAGTGAAGAAGGAGACAATTTTAGAAATGAAAAACACCCAAAAATGGAAAGCGGTCAAGCCTTTAATCAAGTCATATTTAAGGAGTTGCTTATTTCTCTTGAATGACGCTTCAGAAACTGAGATATTGAGGTTTGCCTTGGCTCGAATAAGTGCATCCACAATATTTTTTGCAGCTTTCCCTTCTCTACAGCGGCGGCTCATCAAGGCATGTATACGTTTTACATTGATTTTCTTACCTTGTTATTGTTGTTGTTGCATTTGAAGCTAGTATGGACATATCTACCTTTCTCAGGTTTCGTTTCCATTTAATTTCATTCAAATTTGAGCTCACACCAAGAAATTTTAAAATTATCATATTTCCTGACCATATATGGAGGCGACCATATTTTGGTCCTGTGTATTGTTCTTCATTCATTGCTACCAGTAGCCTGTTAATCCTATATACTCATTTGTCTCGTACTGCTAATGTAAAAGGACACGCCACTAAAATATAAGAATCCACTGATGCAGATTACAGTACATTTGTGGGCAACTGGTGAAGGAACGCTCTCGTCCCTCTCATTTCTCATAATACGAGACTTGAGTTCTATGCTTGGTTCTAATGGCTTCGACTCCTGCTGGATTAAAATGTACAAGGCTTTCATTGCTAACAGCAAATTTGCAGAGCCGATTCTGCATAAACATATGCAATTTCTGAGAGACTCCTTTGTTGAGTTATGCTCTCTTGATGTCCATAGAACTACTACTAGAGCCAAGGCTTCAATCCAGCAACTTGCCAAGATACTGCATCAGGGTTTTCGAACAAAGAAGCAAGTAAGCTGTCAGGATTCCTTATCTTGCTTCCTTGAGTCAAGAACTTTAAATGTATTATTGTTTGTTCAAGCTTACTAGAAGCCTATTTTCATTTACAAGACTTTCTCCATGGCTGTACTTCTCTTTGCAGGAAGCTATCAAGATGATGTGCAGTTGGCAATACATCAATTGCATTGATCTCTGGGTCAAGTTCATTGCTGCAAATTTCCATGATTATGATTTCCAAACACTGCTCTATAATATTATTCAGATTATTAATGGAGTAGCCGCTTTGTTTCCTGGTCCTAGATATCTACCTTTGAGAATTAAATGCATTCAGTGGTTGAATTATCTTTCCAGCTCCAGTGGGATTTTTATTCCTGTTGCATCAACAGTGTTGGATATTTTGGAACATATACCCGGCAAAGAGGGCAAGAATCCAGGAGCTCACTTCAACCACTTGTCTGCCCTACAGGTTATACCTTTAAGCTTTATATATACATATGAATGTTCATGTATTTCGTGATTATGCAATGATGCATTACATAACCGCCCAAGCCCACCGCTCACAGATTTTGTCCTTTTTGGGCTTTCCCTTTCGGGCTTCCCTTAAAGGTTTTTAAAATGCGTCTAGGAAGAGATTTTCACACCATTGTAAAGAATGCTTCATTCTCCTCCCCAACTGATGTGGGATCTCACACTCCACCTCCCTTCAGGGCCCAACGTCCTTGTTGGAACACCGCCTCATGTCCACCCCCTTTGGGGCTCAGCCTCCTTGCTGGCACATTGCCTGGTGTCTGGCTTTGATACCATTTGTAACAGCCTAAGCTCACCGCTAGCAGATATTGTCCTCTTTGGGCTTTCTCTTTTGGGTCTCCCTTCAAAGTTTTTAAAACGCATCTGCTAGGGAGAGGTTTTCACACCCTTATAAAGAAAGTTTCGTTCTCCTCCCCAACCGATGTGGGATCTCACACATTGTATGTTCACGTGATCAAGAAATAAAACCATTGTTTTGCTAAATGCATGAATTTGAATTTCTCTCTTCTACCTAGCATTTATTTCTTTCAGTTGTAGTAACTCTAGAAGTTATTAATGCAGCTGCCAAAAAATTGGTTGAAGTCACGGAACTTTATGGAGGAATGTGTTTTATCTTCCATTGAGCTTCTTTCAGCTCACTTTGCTCAATGGAGCTACAGTATATCTTTCCCTGAACTGGCTACTATTCCACTTACTCAACTCAAGAAGTTTCATGTGACAACTACAACCGAGAACCTCAAGCGATTGGTAAAGCGTTTTATTGATCAGGTAAAGAATGTATTTTGTGTTTGAATCGTGTCGATCCTACGTTCTATCTATTCATGCTCTACATATTCTTAGACCTTTTGTTTGCCATTCAGGTTGAGCAGAATATCGACTTCGTGCAAAAAAAGAGAAATGAATTCTCATTTTCACCCAAAGATCAGCAAGCTGTTGAATCATTTCTTCAGGTTTCCTTCTCTTTTCTTCTTACCGTTTAATTGTTTCGGTTTCTTCCTAGCAACCGACACGTATCATTTGCATTATGTGACGATTGCAGCTAGAGAAATGCAACAGCAACGCTCCGTTTACACAATATTACAAAAGCGTATTGGACAAAGCTGCATCTAGGCACATGTCTCTGGATAAAAAGGTACTACTTCTCCTCTCATGCTTAAAACATTGAATTTGTTGCATCCACTGATAATGTTAATAGATTTTCCTCACATTAATATGTTTGAGTAGTTATGATCTTGCTTACCAAAGCCGATTTTGTAGTTACCTGGAGCCAACCATAACAAAAAGAAAAGACAACAGCTTGAAAACAACAACCAAATTGAATCGGCGACTAATGGCAAAGTACAGCCAGAGAAGAAACGAGCGAAAAAGAGGAAAACTTGAGGACTCGTTGGCGGTCGAGTTTATTTTCTAATCCGAGGTAACAGGTTTTTACAAGTCATCTTTCTCCAAATATTGTGAGATTTTTTAGCCCTTTGGTAATTTCAGAAATCGATCTATATCACATTAATCAGGAGCCAACTAGTTAGATATTAGAATTGTACTTTAAGATTAGTTAGGGCATTGAAATTCATGGTCTATGTGGGGTAATATCAATTTTGTTTACAAGTCATTCTTCATATCTTTTATATCAATCTTGCTTGTTCTTCAGTACTCTAAATGGATGTATGTATTTCTCAGTGTAACCTCAGAACTTTTAATTTTGTGTCTATATTCTCTGAAATTTTTAAAATTAATATTTCATTTTAGAAACTCAAAATCTTAGAACTAAATTTGTAATTTTAAATTTTTAAGGGACTAAATTTGCAAATTTTAAAATTTTAAGGGACTAAATTTATTAAAAGAAGAGGAGCCATAACCTAATCCCTAATCAGATTAGTTGCATATTTTTCATTAAATTTTCTGCTTTGTTTATTATTTTCTGGGTCGAATTATTTCATGTTTATTGTTTGGTTTGGTTTGAAGAATTATTTTAAATGAACATATTTTTCTTGGTTTTTATTATACAAATTTTAAAATATTAATTTTATACTATTTTTTTAAAATATTGCAACCTATTTGTGAACAGAACCATACTGTTCGTCAATAAATTGCATTTTATGTCTGCATGAAGACAGAATTTTGGAGGATTTAAGGGGATTATATATATATTATTCATTTTTTAATTCTATATTCTCCAACAGTTTTTATAAATAAATTTAAAATAAATGAATAGATGCTTAATAAATTAATATTTTACTTTTTGAATAAATGATCAAACCAATATGGGTAAAAATAATAATAAATATTGCTCTGGGATAAAAAAATTCGATAAGTTTTTGTTTTCAATATTATAATCATAATTATGGCTTAAATATTTTCTTAGCTCATAAGAGTTATTATTGCAATCTTCATCATATAAGAATTCTTTCAAAATATAGAAATTAATATATATTTTTTTCTTAATCACATTTTATTATTTTAGTTGTTGAATATTAACTGATTTTGTTACACAAAAAAGAAATGAATGAAAAAAAAAAAAAAAGTAAATATAATTTACGACGATCCTCACGTAAAAAGCATCTACAAAACCGGCTTTCCACTTTCTAATCTCACGCGACTGGAATGGGCCTTAAGGAACCTTTTACGACGACGTTTTGATCGCTGCTACTACAGCCCATTACCAATGCCCTAAGAACCTTCCCATAGTACATGAGCCGTCGTCTTCTTTCCACTTCTTCCTCTGGCCATTGTCCTCTCCTCCGACGGCAAGAACATCGCCGGGCATCTGCTCCGCTGCTGCCTTGTCCTTATCTCACTCAGTTCCATCTCCTTTGGAAACCTCATGCTACCAAACAGAAACAAGAACCAGCGCGATTTCGTCGGCCACGATTCCATTATCATCGCTCGCTCCGCCGGTAAGTCGTATTTCTCCATTTTCCTGGTTCTCTTCCGCTTGATGCACTCAGGATTCTTCGGCAGTGAAATGGAAATCGGATCGAAGCTTTTAACTCGTCTCGTCGTTCTAGCATAAGCAATTTCACAACCTTTTGCGTCAATTGCAGACGATTTTTTAGCGTCGAACGAGTGTGATTTCGTTCGAAATTGGCAATTGTTTTCGGAAAATTTCTCCGATGCAATTCTCTCTGTGTTTTGTGAGTCGCTCGGCTGTTTTTCAGGTATAAATTTCCCGCAGAAAATTATGTCACCGGATCCTGAATAAGTCGAATCAGAAACAGAGAAATTATCGCTGAAAAACTCGAAGAATGTATCTTCGTTGTCAAACGAAGCGCTCCGATCCTGCTTGTCACAATTTGATTCATCGCTGAAAATTGGAAGGTCGCATAAAGAGAGCGTTTCTTCGGCTTCTTCATCATGCGGATATGGATGATCTTCATTGATGGCAGCATCTTCTCCTCGGTAAGAATCCTTAGCAACTATCATTTCTAAGTTATGCTAAAATGCAAATTGAAGCCGATTGATGATGATCAACCGTTGATGAAATCTAGAAAGAAAAAGCATTAAAGATCATGAGAGAAAAATTTGAAATCCATAAGTTGAATAGATTTGATTCACGGGGATCTTATAGGCTCGGCCACAAATTGGTAGAGAGACGAACCAGAAAGTGTGGGTAGTTCATTGGTCGTGCGGACTTTCTAGAAGCGCAGACGGAGAAAGGGATTTTAAATTCAGGCGGATTGTAGACCAAGTTCGCCTCATGCGACAATTTAGACGGTAATTTCTCTTATTTTTTCTTCTTGATTTTTAAAAATTATATTTCAAAACTTTGTATGGCCTTTCTTTTTATTACATAATTTAATATAAGGATGTTTGCTGGTTGGAATGAGATAAATTTTTAATAAAAATCTATTTATTTATTTTCAAATATTTAATTAAAATTTACAAATTTTATATCCATTTATATTTTTTAAAAAAACATTATTTAGAGTGGTTAGATAATAAACATCTAAACTAATAATTATGAAATTAAATAAAAATAAAATATTTTACTAATAAGTAAAAGTTAATCTTTTATTTGTTCAATTCCATCTAATTTCCAAAACATAAAATTTGTATTAATTTATGGAAAAATGAAAAAAAATTAATGTAGCATTTAAATCAAAATTATTTTCTTCCAAAAGTTATTGTTTATATATATATATATATATATATATATATATATATATATATATATATATATATATATATATATATATATAT